GGATCCAGAGCAAGTGACCTTTGCCAGAATGTCCATATATGACGAGTCAGATGCAGGATCCAGAGCAAGTGACCTTTGCCAGAATGTCCATATATATTGGCCATATGCAGGCCACAACCCCAAGGAAACTCCCCTTACATCAGATCAGAAAGTGGAGGATAATTATATAATACTGAGAATCTTGGCCTAGCCAAGTTGACACAACATGAACCATCACACCAACTGATTAAAACATATTACTATTTTTATATATCTCTGGATTGGGTATGATAATATAATTTTAAGGAGTTTTGCATCTCTGTTCATGAGGAATATTTGGTCTGTGGTTTTCTTTTGTTGTCATATCTTTGATTGGCAGGGTAACTGTGGCCTCATAAAATTAGTTGGAAAATGTTTCTCTTTTCTTTGAATTTCAGAAAGACTCTGTATAAGATTGGCATTATTTATTCTTTAATGTGTGATAGAATTTATCTATGAACCTATCTGGGCCTGGAGTTTTCTTTGTTGGAAGTTTTGTGCTTACCATGTCAACTTTGGTAATCTCTGTCTTTCAAGGGATTTGTTCACTTCATTTAAATTGGCAAATGTATTGATTGCTCGTTATTTTCTCTTATTCTCCTTTTAATGTTTGCAAGGTGTTTTACCTTTGTAACTTCATCCTGATCACAAGCACTTCTTAAGACAGTGTACGTTTTAAGGTTCATCATTTTCCATGCTATTTCTAATTCACAACTGTTGTAATACCTCTTCAAAGATGCATTTTCATATCAAAGGTGATTTGTAAAGCTTATTTATAATAGTAGAATAAAAGTGGTGTGTGTGTGTGTGCGCGCGCGTGCGTGCTTTCTACTGTCATGATATGGCAGGGGAAAGCCATTTTCTGGGCTCCTGAGGTCACACCACATGGACAGCTTTCCAAACTGATGCTCTCAAAGCCCGTTTGTAGGATGACATTTTTGCTTTTATATAACTAAGCTTGTAGTAAAAAAATTCAGACATCTGTATCACATTGTCTTTAATTTTAAAAATGGAAACTATGTATCACAATGGAAAACAATGAGCTTTGCAGCTGGACAGAACTGGATGCAAATTCTGGCTTGTCACTTATTAAAGATATGGACTTGGATATTTTATTTAATCCTTCTCAGTGTCTGCTTCGTCATCTGTAAAATGAAATTTACAATGATCTATTTTTTAGGGATACTCTAAGGATTACCCAAACTTATCCATAGTGCCTGCTGTGCAGTTAATATCAGCAATTCTTGTTAATATTATGCTAAGCATGGGTAGATATCAATGAGGAGATTTGTATGTCCCTTAAGTTGGGTGAGGAGTTCATTGGTGGTGCAAACTGTTAACTCAGTCAGCCGCTAACTGGAAGATTAGAGGTTTGCGTCCATCCATAGCTGCCTTGGAAGAAAGGCTTGGTGATCTACATCTGAAAAACCAGCCACTGAAAATCCTATGGAGCTGTCATGGATTGAATTATGTCCCCCCAAAAATGTGTGTATTGCTTTGGCTGGGCCATGAATCCTGGTATTGTGTGATTTTCTTATATGTGTAAATCCTGCCTCTATGATGTTAATGAGGGAGGATGGGCAGCAGTTGTGTTAGTAAGGCAGGACTCAGTCTACAAGATTGGATTGTGTCCTGAGGCAATCTCTTGAGATATAAAAGAAAGAAGTGAGCAGAGAGACAGGGGGACCTCATACTACTAAGAAAGCAGTACTGGGAGCAGAGCATGTCCTTTGGACCCAGGGACCCTGCGCGGAGAAGCTCCTAGTCCTGGGGAACATTGATGAGAAGGACAGCAGAGAGAGAAAGCCTTCCCCTGGAGCTGACACCCTGAATTTGGACTTGTAGCCTACTTTACTGTGAAGAAATAAATTTCTCTTTGTAAAAGCCATCCACTAGTCGTATTTCTGTTGTAGCAGCACTAGATGACTAAGACAGGAGCACAGTTCTACTCTGACACACAAGGCTTCGCTGTAGGCAACTGTTTTTCTTTCTTAGTTTGATAAGTTGAGTGAAGAATTAAGCATCTTGTGTCCTTATTTAGCTCCTCATCTAAAAGGGGGCATCATTGCATTTTTTTTTTTTCTGATTGCAGGGACCAGAGCCATGCTCCCTGTGTCAGTTTCTCCTTATGGGAACTGTTGCTGGTGGTTGCAGAAGTCATCAGATGCAGGACATTGATTCTCTCCTTCAAGGGAGGCCTCAATAATAGAATCACTAAAGTTGAAATGATTTCTCAGAGATCATTTAGAAAACAGTTCAAGGCCATTTAGCAGACACTGCCAGGGTTACTCATGCTAGAGGTCTTCTAGCACTTTCCACCATCCATTGCTGCTTTCCCACAAACCTTATTTAAAAAAAGACTCATAGAAGAGGAAAGATGTCAGCTCCTGTTTCCACCTACCAATGAATTTGACAGAGTGTGACCGTTGCTAAGAGCAATTTACATGATAGAGCATGCAGAGTTGGAAGAGAAATAATTTGTCAAATGTTTTTCTACTTAAGGGCAAGCTTTTTCATTTCCTTTTTTCTTCTTTGAGAGAATAGTTACAGGCAAGGAGAAAATTTTATTAATTCATCTACGTGGACATCAAAGTAAAATTCTGCCCTCAAATTAAAGATTATCTAGCAGGCTTGGATCTTGTGGTATATAAAACAACAGAATTTATCCAACTTCCATTCCCAGAGACCACAGGATCACATTGGTCTGTCCTGGCTGGCTTGCAGCAGAGAGATAAAGCAAGAGTTGAATAATCTTAATAGCACTAACATGGCCTTATGCTGTGCTTTTTTGGCATATTTTCCAGTTAAAAAAATTACGTATGCTGAATTTTATTGTTTTGCTCACTAAACCCCACCACTCTTCATAAACTTATAATTAATAAAATGTTATAATTAGAAAGACTCCCTGCTATTATCAAATAACTTTGAAAAGAAATGGAGAAGTACAAGTTATGTAACTTCTTAAATTCTAGCTATTTGAAATGGTAAAGCACGATCACAAGGCATTCTCAGTGTTTTTGTGTGTCTTTTAAAGAGCTGGACCGCAAAATTGGTTTTCAGAATTTTATAACAACAGATAGAAAACAACAGAGAATATCTGATTTGTTTTTTATTCCCTTTGTTCAAGGGTTTGGATCGACCTAACCTGAGAAGCAGACAACCTAGCAAAAGGTATTGGGTAGTTAAGAACCATCTCTCTGTCTGACAGCAGATGGCAGTATTGATGCATGAAAAAAATTCCATTCAGGTTACTTTTGCAGCTAATTTACCTGTTAGGTTTTCCTTCTTAGTAAGTTTAGGTATCTGAGCTGAGCTAACATTTATAATAAGATAATATGGAATATATACCTTTATCTCTCTCCTTCTCCAGTTTTTGCTTCTACTTTTATAAAATTATTTCTTTCAATTTGCAGCTCCTTTTAGACCTTGACAAAAGTGCGATGTTTCAACTCTTTCACCCCAAACTTTATTTGGTACTCCGAACCTATTACTCAAGAACATACTAAAACTCAGCAAACATTCTGAGAAAACATGCCCTCGGACCTCTCAGATGCTGTCAGAACTGTTCTGAACCTCAGGCCTCTAGAACATTCTCCTAACTCACTCCATCTTCTCATTACTTCTCCAAAATGGAACTTTCCTAAGCCAGATAGCAATGAAGTGTCTGATTCCCATCCTTCTTTCAGATCCCTGGAACATCATCCGTAGTTCAGAGAAAATGGAAGCCGCTGCAGCCTATTTCACAGCCTCGAGGGTCAGGACAGCAGACCAAGTCCCGGATTAGTGCTGTGGCTGCTGAAATAAAGCAAATCCGAGCCAGACGGAAAACAGCCCGAATGCTGATGGTTGTGCTTTTGGTGTTTGCAATTTGCTATCTACCAATTAGCATCCTCAATGTGCTAAAGAGGTAAAGTTCACCAAGCTATTTGCAAATGAAGTGATTTGTAATTTCCTGGAGCTTAATTAGGGTTATTTTAAAAGCCAGAGAATAATGTAAACCTTTTGCCTCGACACCTTGTCCGGCAGGATGTTACTGACTAGAGAACCAACAGGTAAGACAAATAGCTTTTTAGAGTGCTCAGACATACGCTTTTGTCCATGTAAATTCTCTGTTAGGTGACAGACACAAAACAGATGTTCCCCCCAATCTCTTCAAGCTAATTGCTAAGCCTTAGATGCAGAAAAAGTTCTAACGCAAAAAACTCATTTACAGCTTTGGAGTTCTGTTTTGATCAGAACAAATACGTTTTCCAAAACTTTGTTCGCAAAGACATAGGGAATTGTGACAGAATTCTATCTAAAGGATAAAAAGAGATAAGAATGTTTTGTTAGCATTACTTAAAAGTGCATTGGTGAACACTAAAAATAAACGAAATCAAAACAGATACTGTGTGTTGAATGTATAAACAGAAAGAGAGAAAATCCATTTCCTGAAGTCTGTGAATCAAGCCTAAGGTGGATATTAATAAAAATCAGCACACAATTTTTTAGTGAGGAAATATATGTTATTTCTTACAGTGAAGACACAACTATTAAATTACAACAATTGACCAATGACTGAATGGCATGCAGATGTAGGGGCAGTGATCTACACCCTGAACTTCATAGTCAGCCAAGTTTACTGGGAATTATCATAACTGTTGCACATTGACAGGTCCCAAGGCAACACTAATTCTGTTTACAATAGGTTTCGAACTTAAACTAGGGTTACTCCTCTCAGTTTTCCCTGATTCAGAGTCAGTATCATATTCCATACAGCTGGGGACTCTGGACAGAGGAAGCTTTGGCTGGAGTCACACAGACTAAAGGTGGTATAAGCAGCTGCAAAGATTTCTCATTCTCTTTGGCCCTTGTTTTTGATTGCTTAATGGTTTTTTCATTAGAGAAGAAAGGAAAATGATTTTTTGTTCAGTAGTATTATTTACTCTACACAGTCTTAAAGATACACGATTTTCAGCAGCTTAGGTCCTTGAGACATACGCTGGCTCACAAGAAAATGGAAGTTATTTTGCCCCCCATATCCTTCCATGCTTCCCCTCTTATTTTCCTGACTCATGGAAATTCAATACAAATTTATTTTGGTCTTTTCCTAGATGGTGTCTTCTGATCTTAAGAACTTTATGAATATGCTATGATCTCGGATGGGTTTTCTTCTCTTTTTTATAATCTTTTAGTCACTCTAAATTCCATGAAAATATCTCTCTATAGGTTTGTTGCTGTTGTTAGGTGCTGTTGAGTCAGTTCCAACTCATAGTGACCCTGTGTACAACAGAACAAAACACTGCCCAGTCCTGCACCATCCTCATAATTATTGTTATGCTTGAGCCCATTGTTGCAGCCACTGTGACAATCCATTTGGTCGAGGGTCTTCCTCTATTTTGCTGACCTTCTGCTTTACCAAGCATGATGTCCTTCTCCAGGGACTGGTCCCTCCTGATAACATGCCCTAAGTACGTGAGACAAAGTCTCACCATCCTTGTTCTAATGAGCATTCTGGCTGTACTTCTCCCAAGACAGATTTGTTCATTCTCCTGGCAGTCCGTGAAATATTCAGCATTCTTCACCAACACCATAATTCAAAGGCATCAGTTCTTCTTGATTTTCCTTATTCATTATCCAGCTTTTGCATGCATATGAGGCAATTGAAAACACCACGGCTTGGGTCAGGTGCACCTTAGTCCTTAAAGTGACATCTTTTCTTTTTAACACTTCACAGAGGTCTTTTGCAGCAGATTTGCCTAGTTCAATGCATCGTTTGATTTCTTCACTGCTGCTTCCAGGGGTGTTTATTTGGATTTCCTATATCTCAGCACTTGGCACTTCTTTCGCAGCCCTTTCCAGATACCTGCTTGTCCGTCATATTTCTCTTATTCTTCTGACTTAAACTTTCCTTTCCAAGGAAAACAAACGGCTTTTTATGAAGAAAGCAGAGTGTTAAATTAGAAAGATTTTCAAGGGTTTGAGCATTCTTCTGTTTAACACACACACACAAACACACAGAGAATTAGAAAATAACCTTGAAAAGTGTTTTTCTCTTTACCACACATTTTCTTCGAAAGCTTATCTCTTTGTTTACCATCGTATATTATGCTTGTGTTTTCTTCTCTCTCCCAAATAAATTCCTAGGATCTTTTCCTTGCAGCATAACATTTTTGCTTCACTAATCAAAACCAGATTCTTTAAAGCAGTTCTGGTTTGCCCAGGATGTCAAAGATATATTGAAGTCAAGGATCATAGCATAATATTAATTTTATTTGTCTATGTTGTTTCACTCTGTATTGTATTTTTGTAAAAACTAGTACCCCATAGAGCATCACTTTATTCAGTAAATGCATTTCTATCTTATGCCTTCTTGTTGAAAAGAAAACACAGAGGTGGTACACAAAGCACATCGATGTGATGGAGCCTCCTGCACGAGATACATTTCATCTTCAGCCTATAAGTTTATTGGGTAGCTGTAAGTTCCGTGCTGTAGCTTAGTGCATGAAATTTGATAGGTCCAATATTTCTAAGTATAGAGTCAATCTTAAAATATTCGTTAAGGCTATCATAATTAAAAATTTTTTTTAGAATTTAAAATAAAAATTCAAACTCATCAATTTTAAGAAATTACCAAAATTTTGCCTACTGAAGACTATTGCTCTTCATATAAGGGGGTCCCAGAAGCCAAATTTCAACAAGTCCAAGAAGTTTTTGGAGTTGAAGAAATGTAATACTTTGATCAATACACAAATTGAAGTACAACGCAAGTACTTCGATGCTGCAGTTTAGGAGTGCTGTTTAAATAGCATGCGTAATGGAAAATTGACCCAACATCGGTCACTTATATTTAAAAATAAAACAAAATAAGGGAGGTAGAGGTATGTTTAACGTCTGCATTCTTACTCACAACAAATATTTTATTTGCTCTTTACTCAAAGGAGAGACTCTTCTCTGACTGAATTTGACTTTTGATTTATTAATCATGCCATGGAGTTCCAGTCAGGTAGTGAAATTATCTAAACCCACTAGATCTCCATAAACCCACCAGTGGCCAGTGCCTGCCAGAGGTCAGGCACCGTCTATCAAGATCCTTGTTCAACCTCGAATTCAATTATTTAAATATTTTTTTGTTTTTGGTTTTTCCAAAATCGCACTGAATTTTCTGTTGTTTCTTTTTCTGCAGAGTATTTGGGATGTTTACCCACACTGAAGACAGAGAGACTGTGTATGCCTGGTTTACATTTTCACACTGGCTTGTATATGCCAATAGTGCTGTGAACCCAATTATTTATAATTTTCTCAGTGGTGAGTTTTCACTGTTTCTCCTATATCAACCAGTTTTTACCAATGGCTGTGAATCAATGGCTAGAATATTTGGAACAGTCTTGAATTATGTGAACAGCTTAGTAACTGCACAATGAGAAAAGTTTTCCCTGACTGATTTGCCTTGAGACCTTTTTCTCCCTTATGATAGGAAGTACATGTTACATAACTCATCAGAGAAAATTCCCTCTGTGTATGAGTGTGTGTGTGTTTTTTTTCCTTCTGTAAAACTTAGAAGAAATGTTGAAATTGGAGGAAAGCAAAAATTGTGAGAAAGGAATATAGAATCTTGCTTGTCATCTTAAACCTTATGATTTACAAAAGAATCAAGAAATCTTTTTAAAATTTTTGTTATTTTTCCCATAGAAAAATTTATACATCCATTGTTATGTGACTCTAATTGCTCTCCCTATACTGTGACAGCACACTCCTCCTTTCCACCCGATTACCCATTTCCATCCAACCAGCTCCTAACCCTCTCTGCCTTCCCATCTCACCTCTGGACAGAAGCTCCCCATTTAGCCTCTTGTATCTACTTGAGCTAAGGGGCACACTCCTCATGAGTATCACTTTATGTCCCACAGTCCAGTCCAATCCCTGTCTGAAGAGTTGGCCTCAGAAATTGTTATAGTTAGAATCAAATAATCTTATCTGAAACTACAACATCATTTTTTCCTCAGCCAAAATTTGTAGCCTAATTGAGATTACATTGGAACCTTTCCACTTTTAGATATTTTGCTCTATTTACATATCCCATGTGGGTAACATCTCTTGGGTTTATCTCAAGTTTTCTCACTGACCACAAAAAATCAAGTTACTCCTAAATAACGCATAAGCTAAATGACACACATACCTCTGTAACTGATTTAATCTACCTCTGTTTATGAAATCAAAATGGTTATCAAAAGTAATTTAAATAATTATCGTTTTATTTACAAACATTTGTACTTTTGGTTTTAAAATTGTGTTTTAATTAGCTACATCTTTACATTGTTATCCTATCAAACCCATTGACTACTCTTTTTCACTTATCTTGAAATATTCATCAATTTTATAGGAAAGATTCAGTAATTAATGTTACTGCATACTTAATAAAGTATGTACATTTTTCCAATATCATCTTTGGCTTTTTTGGTTGTGTAGGTAAAAAACAATGAGATTTTTTAAAAATTAACTTTGTATTTTTTAATCATGCACACATCTTATACGTACCTGCTTCATTTCACTTTTCAGAGAATCATGTGGCATAAGGTGAGGTTCATTTTTTATTCAGTTGCTTCCCCTACATGCCTTCTTCTGCCCGTCCAATCCTGTCTGTGTGCCGTCCAGTCTATACCAACTCATAGCAAACCTATAGGATAGAGTAGAACTGCCCCGTAGGGTTTTCTACGCCGTAATCTTTATGGGAGCAGATCTCCAGGTCTTTTCTTGTGCAGTGCTGTTGGTGGGTTCGAAGTGCTGACTTTTTTTGGTTAGCAGCCAAGCGGTTCACCATTGTGACACTAGGGTTCCTAAACCCAACCCTCCCCTCCATAATAAAGACCATATTTTGTCCAAGACAACTAGGTGTCACTTTTCTTGGGATGTGTTTGAAGGAGAAGGGGTGACGTGGAGCTGTGACTCTGGAAGCACTGGGGAAGTGATGCTGATTTGGTTAAGGATGCCTAAAGCCTTGTGGGGATCAGCGTTTAAAGCCAAAGCCATGGAACCAAGCCATAGTCCCAATTTGGGAGTGAAGAGTGAAGCAGGAAAGGAGTCTGAGAAATACCGAGAACTTGCTACATCCCCAGTAATGTACTGAGCCCTTCAATGTTCATTTTCTCATTTAATCCCTCAATAACCCAGTGGGGTAACTGAGGCTCAGAGAGAAGAAATGATAATTCCCAACTCTGTCACATACCTTTGTAAAGATGATTATTCCATTTTTATAGATCTCCAATCTTCCCTCAGTAATTAAAAGAGAAGTTGCTCCTTAAGTTTTTTTTTTTTTTTTCCCCAGCAACAGCATTTATTCCTTCTTCCCAATTGTCTTTCTTTTCAGCAATAGCATTTGTTCTGCCTTATGGAGATTATAAAAATTTATATATTTTTCTATACATTTTGATATTTTTTTCTAGATGTTTTGATGAACGATTGTGTCAGTAGAACAGTTTCTTCCTCAGAGTGAAATACAGAAGTAATTTCTGCATGGTTTTGACTTTGTATGACATAAGTTTCATCATTTCTGAAATTACTAAATACCTCTGGGAATCTTTGTACTGATGGCTACTTATGCTATATCTATATATTTAAAGTCCCTGGGTGGTGCAAATAGTTAATGCACTTGGCTGCTAACCAAAAGGTTGGAAGTTTGAATCCACCCAGAGCCACCTCAGAAAAAAGGCCTGGTAATCTACTTCTGAAACATCAGTCACTGAAAACTCTATGAAGCCCAGTTTTACTCTGACACAGATGGGGTGGCCATGAGTCAGAGTCGACTGCACTGCGACTGATTTAACTAGTTTTATATATTTCAAATATACGCACATTCACAAATACATGAGGTTTGAGTATAAATGAATGAAACAAACTCCAATGGTCACACATGAAAATCAGTCTTATTATTTTATGGAAATACCTCATTGTTTCAAAAGTCTACCAAGCTTCCAATAAGCTCAATTTCCGTTTCCTATTTCCTCATCCTTGCAAAATACTACACCTCATTGTTAGTTTGGCTCAAGAGAGTAGCTGAGTTGTACTCTATTCATGATTTGTTGCAACCTATTTTACACATAATTCCTTTTCCTTTCATTCCTTCTGGTTTGCTAGGAAAATTTCGAGAGGAATTTAAAGCCGCATTTTCTTGCTGTTGCCTTGGGGTTCATCATCGCCAGGAGGAGCGGCTCACCAGGGGACGAACAAGCACAGAGAGCCGGAAGTCCCTGACCACTCAGATCAGCAATTTTGATAATGTCTCAAAACTCTCAGAACAAGTTGTGCTCAGCAGCATAAGCACCCTCCCAGCAGCCAATGGAGCAGGGCCGCTTCACAACTGGTAGAATATTTATTCATATGTAAAGTATACCTGAGTAAAACTATTCTTTTTTTTTAAATCTCTGTCAACAGAAATTTTATTATCCCAATGATCTAAAGCTAAAATTACTTTGTGGATCTTTTTTTTTTTTTTTTTTTAATCTATTGCTCTTTGGAAATAAAGTCAGTTTAAAATAATTTCTCAACTTTTGATTCAAACAAGTTAGAAATTTAACCTCCAACTGAACTTATTTCAATCTATTTCACTTTTAGTTTTATGTATTATGATTTAAGTGTCAAGTAACTGCGTGAACATTTCTGAATCTTTTTATAATCCCTTTTGTTTTAATCTCTCACATTCAATTTGATTGCTAAAAATTACCAAAAGTTATCCAATGATTTTCTTTTAGCTACTAAATGAGTATCAATTACAAACTCTGAATTAACAGCAGACATACATTAGTTGACTTTGTAGTTTTAAAAATCACAAAAGACTGAAGTTACAATGTGACATCTGGGAGAATATTTATATATAAAATAGCATACTGCATTAGATAATTCAAAAATTATCTCCCAAAAATATATAAAATATATACTATTGGACTCTATTTTTCATTCATTTTGCCACTCATTTACACAATTTTCTCAGGTCTGTAATCTCACCATTGCTAACGTTTTGTCTCTGCATATGACCAGTAAGACTCTATTAAAATAAAAAATGTTGAAGTAACTTCTAATACATAGCAATTTCCGTCTCTAAGGAAAGGGCTAAAGAAAGTCTTCAAAATGAAAGAATAAGAGAAAATCACATTATCATATTCTTCTAACCAACAGAAATGATGCAGCCAGCCTTGCTGGATTAAATTAAAAATGCAATTTACAAAGAAAAGGAGTAGTAGACTACTAAATCACAGTTGAGTTCCATTTGGACAGGTTAATGTCATGGATATTTGATGGTAAATATTTGCATGTATTTAAAGTTAACAAACATTTTCCAATACTTACCAAAAAACACCCACAGCGATAGGTGCTAGAGAATAAGGTAGGTAGGAAATGCAAACACGTCTTCAACAGAGTGTTGTCTACTGAGGGAGACAGGTCCACAATGTCTGCAAGGCAGCAAATAACTGAGGGACAGATGGCTGGACATGGGCAGAATAGCAAAGTGACTGACTATAGTCACCACAGGAACGTTGGTAGAAAGTTTGCATTTTTTTTCCCCACTCAATTCCAGTGACACTTTTGATGACAGCAAACTCCACCTGGACCTATCACTGAGCACCAGGTTAAAGAATAGAGTGGCTTGCTCTTCACTGCCCCCCCCCCCCAGAATATGTATGATTTGTACAAATGTAAGACCTGGGATATAAGCATTAAATATTTAAAATTTGTTCCTCTGAAAAATTCTTCTCATTCAAATAATTCATTTTAAAATTAAATTAAATTTTAAAATAAGCGTTCACGAGAAGATGCTCTTCATGTCATAGTAACAGGTGTTCTGATTTTATTGAAACAAAAGATAAGGAGCACAATATTTAAGAGATTTTCATAGAAAAGAAAAATGTCTTTTTTTTCCAATGCATCACTCTGAGAAAAAAGTAATACAACCAAATTATACACAATTTGTTTTCATATCTTAGCATTTGTGATTTTATTACCTTGTGCTTTTACTGCTCAACTTAAAGCACAAACAACCTTCTCATCTGAGGTTTATTGAAAATATATTACTAAAAATCAGCACAATATCATGAAGGCAAAATATAACTTTGTCCTTTCTTCTGTTTGTACATTTGAGAACTTTTTTTTTTTTTTTAATGCTGCATCAAAGAAAGTTGTAATTTTCAGATTGTGGTGAAAGTTAGCGCTTTAAATAATCTGAGAATAACTGCAAATAATATTGATAATATGCCTTAATAGCCAAATAATATCTCAGAGTAAGAGATATATTCTTAAAAACAAACAAACAAACCGTTGCCATCAAGTCAATTCTGACTCATAGCGACCCTGTAGGACTATCCCATACAGTTTCCAAGGGGCGCCTGGTGGATTCAGACTTGCTCACCTTTTGGTTAGCAGCTGTAGCTTAACAATTACACCACCAGGATTTCCAATATATTCTTTAGATCCTTATATATCTAGTACTTATTAAAGACAAAGGGTGGAGGAGAGAGAGAGAATGAGAGACAGGAAGACTCTGTGAGAGACAGTTGTTGTAGGTTTGTGTATTAAGGACAAACTTGAAAGTCAAAAGTCTTGCTCTAAATCAGTGGCTTTCTCAGCATCAGCATCAGCTGAGTACTTACTAGGCATGCAAATTTCCACCCTATCTCAGACCGACTGAACTAAAAACTCTGGGGATGGAACCCAGGAATCTGTGTGTTAACAAGCCCTACAGGTGATTCTGAAGCATCTTAAAATTTGAGAACCACTGTTCTAAATGAAACCACCTGGCACCTATTTACCAGCCTGTGTGAAATAAAGTCTTTCACTGTGCAGGTAACAACAACAGAGTCCATCATCATCAGTACTGTCCATCTGGTTGGACGTCTGAAAGAAGAGGCTGAATATCAGTGTTGAATCTCGTGTCATCTCACTCGAAGAGATGATCATTTGCAAATCAGTTGCCACTGTTTTATAAGTGCAGTGGGAAAGAAGACTAGTTATAAAACCCTTGCGTGCTTTACAGTTACCTGGTTGACTTGAGTATCGAACTAAAACTTTCAAATCCCCAATTTTATTTATACTTACTAAGGTCTGACTTTTGTGGAAGAGACAATTTCTAAGAATGATCATTGCCTGGCGGGGACAGGGGGGACCCAAAATCAGAACTTACAAGACACTCTGGGAATGAAATAATGGATCATACACATAGCTCTCAACACATGGATCCAGGAATACTTCTAAGAGATCTGGATTTGGTATGATTACCTTAATGCAACAAATGGTAAGGACACAGGTGTTCTGAATCCCTGCCAGTCTTATGGAAAAAAGGGTCAACTACTTACCTCATTGTGTGCTAAAGACACAAATGAGAAGACTTATAAGAGGGATGTGTTGTGGCTGTTTTATGCTTTACATTGAATATATATTTCTTATTTTGCTATGTTTCAAAGATTTAATGTAACACGTCATTAATGTTATTAAAACTTTGTTATCAGTAGGGATGAAAGAATAATTCATCTAATTTAGAATCCACATCATTTGTGCATTTCTACAAACCCATGAAAACTTAACATTAGAATTCATTCATGGCAAAAGATGACTCCCTGTTTTTGAGGAAAATTACGTCTAAAATCTCCAAGGCTTGGAGGGTTTCTTGGATAGTAAATAACTGTTACAAAGCATTGATGACTTGTGAAAGTGTCACACACAAAGATATTGAATTTAACTCTGTGTATCCATTGCTTTAATGAAAATTAAGGAAAATATGCTTATAAAAATTGTCTAGCCATGCTTAAACCTGAAATATCAGAATGAAAAAAACCTCGACGCTGTTTTATGTACCCAAATTTTGAAGAGAGAGGGCTATTATTATTTTCATACTATGTGATAATAAAATGTTTTGCACTTGATATAAATCATAATAGTAACCAACTGCATTTCAAAATGAACTTACCTGTCATTAAAATTTAGAAAGCTTTTACAACAGATGACTTTTCTACTTCCTATAAGTCACAATCTACAAAAATAGTAAATTCCATTAGGTTATGTGCAATTAGTTTCAAATTGTAAGAAGCAAAATAATAGTTTTTTTAAAGAAACAGTAATATCCAAACAGAAAAATATTGTTAATTTTAGTCTATTCTATTACCTCATCTATCACAGAAGTTGAGGTGCAAAGGCATGAAAATCCCTATCCTCTCCCAAAGTCTGAAGGGGATTTTTTTCTACAGGACCACTGCTACTAAAGACAGAGGGCAAAAAAGCCCCCTCCCACTTGCCACGTATTTCTATTCTCTTAAATTTTCTTTATAAGCTTTGGAGTTAGACTGACTCTTAAGTTTCTCATGAAATGTATTTATATAATTGTTGTATTCCATGTATGTACCTTGAAACTATGTCACTTGTTTAACAAGTATCTTATACATTTAAAATTCTCTGTGTCTGTGCTGTGTCTTCATGAAGAACTTTTTTTATCACATTCAATGTGGTTACACACCTCCCGCTGTGAAGGATGCTCACTATGTAGTTATGAGTAAAAACCATATTGAGAATTCTATAATCACATCCACCCTGCCCTCTCTATTGTGTGAAAAGTTTTGTTGCTGTTGATTAAATAAGTTGGATATTTATTCATAATTAGTGTCAAACCTTTGCAGTTGAAGATTGAATTAAGTCCTCCGGTGCAGTGCTTAATGATCAAAATATTTTTCCAATAAGTTATACAACCAGGGCTAATCATGATATAAAAGGCTTTTAATGTCATTTTTGGGGCTGGTATTATAATAAAAAAGGTGAAGATTATACATAAATTTTTCATAAAGATTATGTAAAATCACGTAGATATAGTATTACATTTTGGAGCTTTTATCTGATTCAAGAGAATAAACCTAATTTTACCTTAGAGAAAAGGATGACCTGTTGATTTTCAAAATCTTATCAGACTAATAAGTACACATTTACATATTTAATTTTTCCATATCTATATACATATACATATATATATAATTTTTAAGGACTACTTTAAGTTCCTAAATGATTCTGATAAATTACAGAATCAGGGCCAATAATTTTAATAAAGAAATGCATTTTCATTCAGCACTGTTTATTCTAAACTTTATCAAAGATATAGCCAAAGTAACTGGGCAAGGTAAATACTTGACTCCTTCCAGCTAAATGTAATTTGTATACAGGGTGGTTTCACCAGACAATATGAACCTCCCATAGTGAAATCCCAAGAAAGGCTAGCTATTTCAGTGTTGAGAATGTTTTGCTCTGAGTGCCCTCTTATCACAGACTAGGTTCTTGGCTTCTAGATACTCCTAGTCCTGAGTCAGCCCTAAAACAAGGTTGCCATATCTTCACAAACTTCACACTTTTCCCGCTGCATACGAAGTAGGCTCTTGCTATTTTTATGAAGTGAACAAATGGTAAATATACAATTTGAGAACAATGAAGCATAGCTCAAGGAAAAAAAAAAAAAGATACATCTCCAAAAAGATCCTTTCATTTTCTTCCCAGGGTTTCTATGTATATCGGTGGTCTTTGGGATCTGTGTTAAAGGCTCCCTTCCCAAGCCCCACCTGAGGTTGCTGCTTTAAACAGGAAGGGATCCAAGTTTGAGAATCTTAGGCCAATGTGATGTCAGGTGAGCAGTGGG